CAGATGATGAAAATATTAATAAATTTCGTGATTGTCAAAAACGAAATTTTTTAACAACATTATTTTTATCTCAAGGAATTCCAATGTTAGTTGCAGGTTAGTTATACGAAATTCTCTTTTTGTTTAATAGAAAGAAGAAAAGGATGAGAAAAATTATTAAGAAAGACTTCTTATAAGATCTTTACTATTTTCAATGACAGATTAAATTAAAATTATAATTATAATACAAAACTTTGTTTTGAAATTTTTTTTTGGAATAGTGATTTTAAAAAGATAATTAATGAATAAATGAAAAGATATTTTTGGATGGAAGTTAGGGAAAGAAGAGAAACATTGAAAGTATAGAAATTAATAAAATAATATAGACTTTTTTTTTCAATCTTCAAAAGTGCCTCAACATATTTTGTTTGTGTATATTTCACGGTAATTATCTGTTTAGAGTAGAAGATTTCAAAATCTATAGAGATTGATATAGTAAGAATAAGTAATCAACAAGCTACTATAGCTTAGATTATCTATTTTAATCTAACAGAAGTATAGATTAATATTTATTTATATTATTTGGTTGAATGAAATATCATAATGCATATATATTACACATTGATAACAGTTCTGAACGTACTAAGAATAGAATAAGAACTTCATTTGTTACAGAGACGGAAGACATTAAGATATGAAATCGATCTCCCTCCCGAAACTTGGTTTCTTATTTTCCCGATAGTCAATTCGTGTCAGAAGTGAATTGCGGTTCCCTCGAGTAGCAGAAAGTTCGTCAATATACTCCCCGGACTTTCACCAATAAGCAAAAGTCAGATATCTTTTCATTTTGGCAAACATACAATAACCTTTTACCCATAGTTGAATGACTTAATGCCCGCCGCTAGTACATGTTTTATTCAGATATTTAATAGATTGATCAATGCCTGTCGCAAGACGTCTACTCCATGTAGAGTGTGGCTGCAAGCGTCTCCTATTCACGTACATTCACACCACATTGTTCATTTATGTGTACAATGTGATGACACTCATGGCAATACTCCTTCAATTTTGTGCTTTTTAAGCAACGATCCACTTTCAATTGTATATAATTCGATAGATTCTTGAAAACTCCCCAAAATGATACTATTGCGTTAAGCTGAATTTGTGTGCAAGACATTTTAATCAAATGCACAGTATTAATGAGAGTTAAAAATTGTTTTTTTTGACAAATATTTAATTAGATTTGGTCGGAATAATCAGGTTTCCTATCAAAAGCTGATGATATATTTAGAATCAGCATAAAAAACTGAGTCGATCTATATGCGTCACAAAAAACTCCGGTAGCCTTTTTTCCACAAGAACTCAGGCTTCTTTCCTCTTAGGGTTACGTGGAAATATAAAGTTAGTCAAAACGTCAGTTTGACAGTAAAAAAGTGCTTCTAATTTTTAACAAAATCTAGGAGAATCCAAAATGATAGATGACTAACTAATGAAAACAATATTTTGGATGACTTTGTATTTCCATGTAACCCTGAGAGGAGCAAAGACTGAATGCTTGGACAAAAATAAAACTCGTCAGTGGATTCCGTGACAAATATAGAGCAACGCGGTGTTTTATGTTGATTCCAAATATATTATTTGCTTTCGTAGAAAGTCCGATTATTCTGACTAAAATCAATTAAATATCAGTCAAAAAAGAGAAGTTTCGACTGTCATAAACATAGTGCGTTTGACTACAATATCCTGTAGACAAATTAAACTCGACATAATAGTATTATGTCGCATAGCTTGAAAGAATTCATCGAATGATATATAGTTCAATTTGGATCGCTGCTTTAAAAGAAAATTAATGAGGGAGTACTGTCATGGATATCCATAGATTGTACATACAAACGAACAAAGACTAAATAACATCTAGTTTTGAGTCAGCCGCATAGAGCTAGAATGAGATCTAACTGTCTAATTCAAATGGCCGTTAACCTTTGACATTCGAATTGACTATTGAAAAAACAAGAATCTCAATTTTGAGATGGGCCTATTTCATCATTTAACGCCCTCTCTCTTCGTTGTGCTTTTTCCTTAAAAAAATGAATTCTTTTTGCCGTTTTCAAGAACATAAACAATATTTGATTGAAGGAATTAGCAATGACTATGAAAACTCTTAGAAAAAAAAAACTTAGTTTAAACTATCTTAAGTGATACATTCAACAGTTTCTTATGCATAGAAGCTTAGCATGAATTTAGAATTAAATATGACTTCATTTTAGGTGATGAACTAAGTCGAACACAACAAGGTAATAATAATGCATATTGTCAAGATAATGAAATATCTTGGTTGAATTGGAAAAAAGCTGATAAAGTATTGTTAGAATTTACACAAAAATTAATTCAATTACGTCGTCAACATCCTGTTTTTCGTCGTCGAACATGGTTTCGTGGTCAACCAATGCAACCTGGTGAGATTGAAGATATAGCTTGGTTTAAATTTGATGGCCAATATATGAAAGATGAAGATTGGCAACATGATTATGTCAAATCATTTGGTGTTTTTATCAATGGACGAGGAATGCAAGCTCGTTCATCATTAGGTGTACGGCTTACTGATGATAGTTTTTATATAATATTTAATGCTTATCAGGGATATATTGATTATAAATTACCTGGAAAAGAATATGCTAACGATTGGACATTAATATTAGATACGAGTAAAGATAAAGTAATTACTGAAGGTGATGAAGGAAGAATCTATCAAGCCAATGAGACAATAACTGTACACGACAATTCTATTTTACTTTTACATCATGTTATTTGATCTATTGTTTAGATTAATATTTTAGCGTTTAGAATTTTTATGTATGTTTTGCTTTTACAATAAAAAAAAAAGAATCCTTGAACTTATAAAACATGATATTTATTTTTATTTTATGCAATAAAATTCTTTTTTTTTTATCTGTTCACTGATTATAATTTCGTGTGTTTCTAATGTATTTGCATTAACTGATTTGACAAAAAAAATTGAAAATCTTTCATTTTCAGAGGTTTCCATCGAAATTCTAGGATAGATCAAGAAAGAATACAAATCAAACGGATTTTCTTTATTGAAATGATTATGATAAACCAATCATCAATTGGAAATATTGTCCGTAATGATTTATTATAAAAATACGATGTATTCAACAATCTGCTCAATTTGTTGTCAGCTGTAATGATTGAATCGAAACTACAGATTTTTATGAATAAAAAGTCTTCAGTGTAATTCCTGTAGCATTAAAATGTAAAACACGATTGATCTGTTTAGTTTGTAAAGGAGTATCCCACACATGTTGCTCATATTAAACTTAATGGTTAGATAAACTAAACTTTCAAAATATCTGTCAAGCTCTATGAAGCTACAGAAAACTTCGCCCATTATTTCTGTCTGTTACAGTCTGTAAGGCTGAAGGAGTGGTTCGATTTTCTCATTATATTCTTTAACACTCCTTTCATTAATTACTTATGGATTCTTGAAGAGCTACTAATAACATATTAATAAGTTATTTAAAATAATGAGACTTTAGTCATGTAATGTCGAAATGTCTGTCACTCTCTGTAGGGAATGGTAGGACGGGTCCAAATTTCCATTCTATATACGTTAGTATTCTTGTTAGATTGTATTTCATAAAAGTATTTTATCTTATCAAAAATAAATGGTTATTGAGAGAGGCAAACAAAAGAATATTTAGTGATAAATCAACATTTGAAAGAGAAATTGTCACAATTAATATTGATTTAAAGTCTCATAAACTACTTGATATCAGTTTATCAAACGCATGAGTATTAATATAAAAAAGAACTTAAAAAACGTGAACATCGGGCACAAAAGTACAGATAGAGTCTATCATAAGGCAGTTATTTTACTTTGATTTTTTTCAGAAATGGATTGTAACAAATATGTTGGTTAACATATCTTTTAAGTCAAGTGTTTTTGTTACTCATACATAATAATTTTCTTCGTCATTCAGATCCAGTTCGAACAGAAATAAAATATTATTGAATTTTATTCAAATATGCTATTTCCAAGTGTGACGCTCTAGCTCTTCTAAGACAATCGATAATGGATTCTGAAAATTTTCAAATACAGCGAAAAAATATTTTGAGAAAACATCTTTTGACAACAATATCGACTGATAAAATTCTTTATTCGATTCAAAAATAAAATTGAATAACATAACGAAATAAAATATGAATATTATTTTCTTGATTCATTTTTATCAAATTATGGTTGTCCACTGGATTTTAGTTACATTTGACGAGTTACGAAATGAATGTAAATTTCGATGTGTGCCTATTAAACAATACTTCAAGTTATGTATTTCGCATCGAATTTAATATAGATGTGCTACAATTATACCCACTTTGTACTAAAGTTTCACTTGACGTCGGTGAGTGTGTCAATAAAATGAATTAATGAAAAATGTAATGTTTTAATTCCTAGTGATTGGTCTCTTTTTACCTGTATATCAGCGTTGCTATTAGGGTCTTGATGTGCTTCACACTGTTGTCAAACTGGTGATCGTTGTTTTGATTTTCCATCGGCCGACACTTCCCATTATCATTGTTGTTGGTCATATACCTGTATGCACAGAAATATAGAAGATTGACTCTGACATCCATCTGCCTACAATGCTTTAACAGGACAAGCTATTCTCAACTGTATTGGTTATGCATTTGCAAAGCTTTCTCGTTCATTTGCAAGTGTAATATCTTCAACTTCGGCAGAAATTTAACAAAATAAACTTCTGTACTCAACATTCCTTATGACGGTCAATTGTTCTCTTCAATATGAAAAGGAGAGCAACCTGTTGGTACGTTACTGTCTACTAATAGGGGCGTGTATATTTCTTCTTATTTTCATGATGTAAAATATTGCTAAAATACACAACTTACATCATGTGTGGAATGATGCACGAAAAGAATGTGTACTTGAATGTGACAGATAGCAAATTGTATTCATTTTGTCTAGTTTTCTGATTCTAAATCGAACAAGCATGCATTAACTTCAAAAATAAAGAGCGATAGTAAAATAAGGTAACAAATTCAAAAATAGTACAAGGAGAATTTTGAAAAACGAAGCTAAATAGAATATTTTATATGAAAAAATGTTCACATAAATAAAATAAATTAGTTTTAATAATCAACTATTATGATGGCTCTTGATTTTGTTGCTTCAGCGATCGATTTATTTCCAACTTACTATCGCCTTCTACTAATAGTAGTCGATATTTGAAGTATAGATTTTCCTGTCATTCTCAATAATACTTCAGGATAATGATCTTCCTTATTTGATGTTCTTTTCTCATCTTCCGCAAAAGATCATAAACTATTTCATCTCTAACAAACGACTCGTGTTTTTTACACTAGACAATTTCCTATAAACTGATGCATATATGACGCATTAACTCTCAATGTATGTTTAAAACGAAAAAAAATCGAAGAATTTTCAATTTATTTTTCTTTTCTAAAACATTTCAATAGTTGATCTTTTAACGGAAACCACACAATTTGTATTAGATGTTTGCTCTAGTTTAATACATTCATATATTTATGCTACACTTGTTATTTTAAGTCATCAGATAACAATTTTCTTTTTCTAACATTTAAAATTAAAATAATATATGTGATGATGACATGTGTTAATAGAAGAATCAATGCTACAAATGCAGCATTTTCAAAATTAGTCATTTGTAACAAAGAGTTTTTATTTAAACAAGAGAACACGAATTCTTCTTACTTGTGTTGGTCGAAATTCTACTCATCAATATTATTATTGGCTAGTGAAGGTGTAAATCGCATCGTCTTCTAGTTTGTTAAATGAATGTTCTTCAAATAAAGAAAAGATATTAAAATTAATATAGATAAATGAATATTTTTACTTCAAAACAATCTGTATCATTTGTAGCATCAAAGTAAAGTTTTTCTTCGAATAAAGTCACCGTATCACGAATAAATAAATGTGTATTTTATTGAGCTGATAAATGATCAATACTTTTGAAAACAAAAGTATTGATATTAAAGGAAAAAAAAGAGGATATTTTCAAGATTTATGTACTATTTGCCGTCTATTGATAGAAGAAACTTATATTTTGAACATTTTCAATATTATTATGTGTAGCACTGTTTAGTGAAATACGACCATTGACACATCAATAATGAGATTAAGAAATTTGGTAGTTGTATGCCAAACGAAAAAATATTGAAAATGTGAATTTCGAAAATTCAAATTCTTTTTTTATCACAGATTTTGCTCTCACTTTCATTGTTGTACTACAAGCACGTATATCATATTATATTTTATTCATCGAAATTTAAAAAAAAATTCTTTCACCTAGAATCTACAAGAATTTCTAATTTTCGATAGTTTCACTTTCTAAATTGTTCCTTTCCACCTTTAGCAACTTTACTGATTAGTGTGACCGAAAATTGTTGGTTGTTCAATGACTAAAAGAAGTAAAAAGAAATTCAATTTATTTCCTTTCTATTGTATTGTTAAATAACTAACGTTAAATAAGTCTGACGAAAGTCTTTGTTGTTTCCATACTAAATCCTTGGCAGATTCAATAAGTAGACTGCAAGAATTCACTGTTTTATCCTGAGAAAACGACTTGATCCTGAAGAAAGCATATAATTACAGAAGTTCAAGATCCTGACAGGATTTACAATAGAATTCAATCAAGATCCTGAGCAGTGTATTACTAGGTATTAAATTAAGAAAAGATTCATAAAACCATGAATTTTGAAAGAAATATGTAGCTGAAAAAATATCAACAATTTTGATAGAATTTGAAGCAAAATCTTAGATGGATTCTGGGCAGCTTTCTATTGTTTTTTAGGTCAGGATCCTGTCGAGGTTTTAATGATCTCTAATTGAAAGAGAACTTTTTCTTTACATCTTGCAGAATTTCACTAGATTTTCTCTAATATGTTATCAAATTTATTGACAGAATCTTTGTAGAATTTTCTAAATAGAGCAGAAGAGAAACGAACACATAGAGTATCGATATCAGGACTTTCAGTACAGAGACCGAAACGAATAAGAAAACCTTCATTCGAATTTGATTTGATTTGATTTATCCTGCTACAGAGAAAGAATATTTTTGTTTTCATACACAATATCTGCTACTTTATTTTCTATTTCCCGTTCTAAGGCACCTTTTCTATATTTACTCTATTCGTACATATTCAAGATGATTCATGTGTTTAACACAAAATTAATGAATTCGAGAATCATGATATAATCGACGATTGAAAGATTGAAGTTTCGTGCACTGAGTGCATCTATCAAAATTTGGCAAGCGAAAACTGATTGTTACAAAAAGGTAGTCGAAACAGATTTATGATATAAGGATAACAGGCTGTTTCAGTAAAATATTTCACTTGAACGGAATATGTTGAACAGTATATGGGTGTGATAGTAGATCTTGTCGGGACAAATACACTTATCGACACCCCCATCCCTCATGCATTGCGTATATATTGACCTAATTCGACTAATTAGCTTCTGAGGAGTTCATTAAAAGTATTCTCAAGGGCCCCAGATCAGTAGTTTAAGAGACAACGTGTATTTGTCCCGCTTGATACAAGTCTTAGAAAGCATCTCAATAGCTGAGGGTGAAGGCAAAATCTTCATACAGCCGCCAAAGAGCATCTCAATAGCTGAGGGTGCCACGAAATCGTGAACCACATTTAAACGGCATCTCCATAGCTGAGAGTGCCATAAAACAATATTTCATGGCACCCTCGGCTATGGAGATGCTCTTTGGTGGCTGTATCAAG